AAAATATTAAAGAACAAAACTCTAAAACAAATGGATGGCAGGAATTTTTTTTTTTTTGTCTTTTTGAGATAGGGTCTCACTGGATAGTTCATACTGGCTTTGAACTCACTTTGTAGCCTAGGCTGTTTTTGAACTGCCAGTGATCCTCCTGCCTCAGCCTTCCAAGTGCTGGGATTACAGGTGTGTGCCACCACACCCAGCAACATCTAATATTCTTTCACTCTTAAAAACAACTGTGTAGCTGGGCGTGGTGGCGCATGCCTATAATCCCAGCACTTGGGAGGCTGAGGCAGGAGGATCCTTGCAAGTTCAAGGCCAGCCTGGGCTGCAAAATGAGCTCAAGTCCAGCCTGAACTACATAGTAAGACCCTGTCTCAAAAAGGCAAAAACAACAACAACAAAAAAAAAAACAAAAAACTGTAATCCCAGCACTTGGGAGGCTGCGGCAGGAGGATTATCACGAGTCTGAGGTCAGTCTAGGCTTACATGGTAAGTTTAAGGCCAGCCACAACTACATATATAGTGAGAACCTGTCTCAAAAAAAAAAAAAAGCAAAACCAATAAACAAAATTTGAGCACCAAAGCCAGGCATAGCAGTGCACACTTGTAATCCCAGCACCCAACAGTATGAATCAGGAGGGTGATGAGTAAAATCCAGCCTGGGAACTCGGCAAGACCTGTCAATAAATAAATAAAATTAACTGAGCTTTTTATATTTTATTTTATTTTATTTTTGTCTTTTTGAGACAGGGTCTCCCTATGCAGTTCAGGCTGGCCTTGAGCTCACTTTGTAGCCCAGGCTGGTCTCAAACTCTCAATGATCCTCCTGCCTCAGCCTCTCAAGTACTGGGATTACAGGCATGTGCCACCACACCTGGCTATACTTTATGTTGAGACAGGGTCTCACTAAATTGCCCGGGCTGACCTGAATTTGAAACCCTCCCACTTCACCTTCCCAAGCAGCTGGATTACAGGCATTGCCACCAGATCCGCTTCCTTTTATTGGAAGTGCTGGAACCCACAGCCTCATGCATGTCCTGCAAGTGTGCTATCACCTGACTATACCCCCAGCCCCTGGAAGCTCCTTTAAGACAGAAGCACATAGCCAGGCATATATATAAACTATACCTCAGTGACAACCATTTAACTAGACCTGGTCCCTTGCCTATAATACTAGGACTTTGGAAGGCTGAGGTAAGATGATTGCAATTTCGATCCCAAGTGGGCAGCTTGGCAATTTAGCCAGATCCTGTCTCAAAATAAGGACAAATAAAAAGAACTTGGGATGTAGCTCAGTGTGAAGGCCCTAGATTTGATTCTAAGTACTGGAGAAAAAAGTAAAAAATATACACCTACAATATAACCCAACAGAAACATAAACTTTGCACACGAATATTTATAGCTGTTTTATCATAACTTTGAAAATTAGATATAACTCAAATTTACACCAACAAGTTAATTGATAAAGAAATTATGGAGTATCCACACAATGGAACGCTACTCAGCGATAAAAAATGCATGTTGAACAAATATGTAGGGCTGGGGATTTAGCTCAGCGGCAAAGCGCCTGCCTGGCAAGCACAAGGTTGTGAGTTCGGTTCCCGGTACCGGAGAAAAACCAAAAAACAACAACAACAACAACAACAACAACAACAAAAATGAAGCCTTCAAACAAATATGTACTAGGATTTATTTGAGACACTGATGCAGTACTACGTTGTTTCATTAGATGGCAGCAAACACCCATTTACAGTTCAATTTTCCTTTCCTCTGGCCACCCCTCCCTGTCACAGTGGGCAGATTGTTTCCCTTTTGGGAAGTGGGAAAATGGAGGCCTGGGAAGACCTGCAGTTTGCCAGAGCCAGGGAGCCAGGATCTGACCTGGATCTCCGAGATTTTTCTGGGCTTTTGAATTGACAACCCAGGTAAACCCTCTGAGATCTTTTAGAGCCTTTCTCTTCCTTTCCCCTAGGTCTTTCCTAATTTTTTTTCTTTTTGATACCGGGAATCAAACTCAAGGTGTTGCGCTTGCCAGGAAGGTGCTTGTACCGCTGAGCTATATCCCTGGCCCCGTCTTTCCTAATTTCATCCCTATCCAAAAGGCAGACATCTGCTGTGTCAATAGGAACCAGAGCTTGGTCCTAGTCCTGGGCCCTGAGAGGGAAGGCTTAGAGGGTATAGCTGCCACTGAAATTAGGATTATCAGGCTGACGAAGGCCCAAGAACCAAGTGCACCTTTCTATAATTACAAGAGCAAATATGGGACACTCCTGGGATGTGGCTGTATTAATATTAGGCCATTTAAACTGGACGCAGTGGTGCATGCCTATAATCCCAGCTGCTTGGGAGGCTGAGGCAGGAGAATGGCAAGTTCAGAGTCTGGCTAACTTTCCGAGACTCTGTCTGAAACGGTAAGGGGTAATAGTTGTGTGGTAGTGTCCCTGGGTTTGATACCAAGGACCATGGTGGTGATAGTGGTAGTGGTGATGAGACTGACGTAGAGGTAAGCACCCGTAATTCAGCACTTGGAAGGCAAGTTTAAGCCCAGTGCTACATAGTGAGTTTGAGGTCTACCTGAAGTACAGAGTGAAACCTATCTTAAACAGAAATGAAGCCTCTTGGCCTGTATATAATCATTGGGAAGATTTTATTCTCTCGTGCCTTTTGTGCTCAGATGGTAGAAGTGTTTTCTGGCCTACTTTTCTACCCTTCCTGTAACTAACTCTGATCTGTGTGTGGCCCAACACCAGGAACCGTGGAGCTTTTACTCTTTGCTCTCCAGTGATTTTTTTTTGTCTTTTTGAGACAGGGTCTCACTATGCAGTTCAGGCTGGACTTGAGCTCACTTTGTAGCCCAGGCTTGTCTCGAACTTGCAAGAATCCTCCTGCCTCAGCCTCCCGAGTACTGGGATTACAGGCATGCGCCACTACGCCTGGCAAATTTTTTTTTTTTGTGGTGCCAGGGATCAAACTCAGGACCTTGTACTTGCCAGGCAGGCGCTTATGCCCCTGAGCTATATTCCCAGCCGGGTTTTGTTTAATTTTTGCATATAGTGTCTTGCAGTTCAAACTGGCCTTCAACTCTTTGTGATCCTCCTGCCTCAGCCTCGAAAGTGCTGGGGTTACAGAAGTGCACCAGCATGCCTGGCCAGGCTTTCTCCGTTAAGACCAAGTCTGGGACTGGGGATTTAGCTCAGCAGCACACCTTCTTGGCAAGTAAAGTGCAGTGTGAGGCCTTGGGTTCAATTCCCAGTTAAAAAAAAAAAAAAAAGACCAAAGCTGGACACCTATTTACAGTAAACCCTTAACTAAGGCACCATGCGCTAATTCAGCTTTCCCCTAACCATCAGATCACCTCAATGGGAGATGCTAGGGCTGATCAGCAGCTGACCTGTCTGGGCTCTTGCTTCTGGGAGAACATTCAACCCACTAACCAGCAACAGGGTCAAGAACTGGAGACTGGGCTGAGGATATAGCTCAGTGGCATAAGCGCATGCCTGGCAAGTGCAAGGTC